ATATAAATATAATAAGATTATGGACCAATGAAATATTCAAAAATGGAAACTTGTTACTGAAGCAGAAAACTGAAACACTGTCCCAAAAATTAAAAATGATGAATAAATACCTTTGTACATGCTCTTGAAGTTCATTTAATTTTTGCACACCTTTATCTACTGTTGTTTTTGTTAATGTTACACTCATCGACTCAATACAAACATTATCTGGAACTGACTTTTTGAAACATGCCGTTCCTAGTTTGAATTTTTTGAGATCAAAAAACTATGATAAAAAAGAAACTACACACAAATTAAATTTGGATCTGAATGCAGCTAAACATGAAAAATAAACTATCAACCCCTATATGTAAAAACTAGAATGGAGATCTTATCTTTTTAGATCAACCACACAGTTCGCTTACTATCAACGGACTCATGTGAGCAACTAGGAATTTGAGGTGGAATCTTTCCAACTGTTCCTGAATATAGAATAAAACGTACCAATATTATGTGCTTCATCAAAAACAACACATGAATGGCGACTGAAATTTTTTGACACTAACTCAGCAATTTTAGGGTCAAGGATATAATGATATGAATAAACAACAATATGGGCACGGTCAACAGCATTGCGCGACAAGAAATACGGACATAATCCTTTCTGTCGACCCCATTTTCTCAGATCTTGCTGGAAGTAAATGACAGTCTTGAATTGAATTTTTTTTCGTGAAAATATAAATTGATCAAGACCACATCGCAGCGTCATTAATTCGCAAAAAAACGCACCAAATTGTAGACGCCATTTGGATAACTAAGATTTTTTTGTTCATCGAAATTTTCGAAAAATGAGCAGTAAGGTAACTCCTGATTTATTCTACGTTTTGCTCGAACGAAACTTGCCGTAAGCCTAAACATGGTAAGAAACAAATATCTCAAACACGAAACACTGAAGTCGCTTCACAAATTTTTTATCCTTAGAATTAATACCATCAAGGTAACTACTAAGAAGATAACATTAACAATTGTACCTTACCTCTGGCAAGCTCCATCGACTAAAGAACTCGGACGCAGTGAAGACACTGAATCGTTAATGCACAAATTTTTTCGGGCAGAAAGAGCCACAGCAAACAACGGTGGTAATTTCTTAACAATCAGAAATAGTTGCTTTATTGATAATAAAAACTGATTCACTAAACATTTTAGAAACCCATATTATTTCTAACCAAATAAAACTGAGAAACTATTAACTGATTTTGTGTAAATAAAAGTGGTAACTACCGTATAGACCGAATCTTATTGGATATATAATCTCTGTAAATCACTGAAAGACGAAAAAAAGCTAACTTCATCACACTGTTCATAATATTTGAAAAGATTTCGAAGTTCCTCTACACATTTTTCAATTTCTGGAATCGTTCTAGAACAATAGACAAGCTTATCCAAACGATCGGGAAACCGCAACATGTAGGCAACCACAAGTGATAATAGGGAAACTGTTTTACCTGTGCCTGATGGCATTTCTAACAAACAGTGACCCTGAAATTTCCTATCCAGAACGGCAAGCATATAAACGTAGCTTATTCATTACGAGAAGAGATTTAAAAGAACTTGATTCTTAATCCAAATAATCTCACCTTAGCATCCAAAGCCTTCTTCAATTCACCCATATATAGAATTTGTTCGGGGTAAATAAAATCGTACGGAAAATAGACTTCCAAACCATCAACATCAATCCTAAATAATGAAAACAAGAAAATGACTTGAGCAATAAAATATTTGAACTCATAACGATAAAAGACTTTTCACAAAGAGGACGATCAAGATGAAACATGTGTGCCATCCGATTATTGTGGCCTCGAAACTTTGGTTCTTTTTTGGAACATCATTAATACTCGCAACTTTGAGTTTTGTAGAAAAAGAATCGAAAAAACTCACTTCATGATTATTGCCTCAATCGAAATCTAGCAGTCCCATCCAACATACCAACAGACAGCACATAAGAAAAATCTGAAATAAGGGACATTAAAAATTTCATGATCACTTACACTTACGTGATACAAACCATTTTTGCTACATTGTTACTGCAATCAAATGGCTCCATCATTAGAAAAATACTTATTGTTCTCCTTGAAACTTCTTAACCGCTAAAATTCGAAGCATTCTCAAGTCCCACTGACAAAAATTTATGAATCAACTACTCGGAGTACGGAAAATTCACACAGTGTACATAAAAAATCTGGCCCATTCAGAAAATAGACTAGACGACCTGAAAAATCCCTTATTATTTTCAAAAAAATAACAGCAAATACCAGTTCAACGTATGTAATCTTTTAATTAATAAAAATTGGAAAATTGATACAAATGAAGTTTATTTACAGTGAACATAAATGGTATGGGCTAGTTCATCAATACCAACTACAAATATATTAGAAATAAACGCTAAGGGTAGGAAAATCATAGTTACCCGCATACAGCACGTTAACAGTATTTTAAAATTTGAAATTTAAGTTCACGCACTTTGAACACGAAAAGTTTTGGAAACAAATAAGCCAAAAATTACTCACTTTCTCAACATCACAGAAAGAATAATACACTTTATATATATGAAAAGAAAAAAATTTACAAAAAAGCATCTGATAAAAATAAACATATTAACGATGTATGGAATTGCAGAAAAGTCATTTTTATTGGTACATGGAAGGGGTATTCTGAATTTTACGAGTGGAATGATACTCATAAACTTTTTTTATTCCAGAAAAAATCCCCGGTGGTGGTAAATCACTGATTGGAATAAAAGTGAAACGATCCATTTGATCAGTGCATGACGCTATACGAGGTGGTGGTGGTGGTGGAGGTGATGAACCATCGTCTGCTAAAACTGGTGAAGAAACTGAAGTAGAAGTCGTTGTAAAATGACCAGACTTATGAGGAATCGAACGTCCTATCCGAGATGGCTGGCTGGGCGGAGGAGGTGGAGGACACGCAGGTTTTGCAATCCTAGTTGAACTTGGAGAATTCCCGGGCAAAAGTGGAGGTGTCGTATGACTATGTGACAGTAATGGTGGTGAATTCCTGACATCCTGAAAAATTATCAGTGAATGTGAGAAAAGAAAATTTGTTGAATGTGAAACCTCTAATGGTAAATACAGTGAAAAAATTTCGGCCATATTTAGCAAAAAAAAAACCATCAGTATGTAAACATGCAATCAAGATCTATTTCTGACGCACATATACGAACATGATACGAGTAGACGAAAAATGATCATACGTCAGAACTTTCAGATCGACGAATGGCAAATACATCATTTGCTGTTCTGTTAGGCCTTAAAGTTTTGAACTGTTCTGGAGGTGAATTGATATTTTTCATAGATGGCTTGGACTTTATCGACGGTGGCGTTGGTGGAGCTAGTCCTGGTCGACTAATCTGAAGAAATTTACAGAGCTAATTTTAAAAAGGCAAGGATAGCGATATCTTAAGTACGATGAAAATAATGTAAAATATAATAATCTATATTCTCTTGCAGAAAGACCTTTATACAACCAAAAAAAACAAATTTTGATTCAAAGCGATGTAGAAACCAACAAAAGCATCTCTCACGCTGAAGTACTTCCAAACAATGTAAACCTGGCTAAATTGCTTCAAGCGATCTGCGATCCCTGTAGAAGTCTGATGATACATACCAGAAGTTTGGACATGTTTCACAGGTGGAGTTATCGATTGCTAAAAACTATACAACTTGCAGAAAAAATGTTCCTTTAATTGAAGACACTTTTGCAGTTTACTTTTATGAAATAAAATTTTAAGATAGAGATGTATTATAATAATCTCTTAGTCTTTTAATAGATCTACTACTCGCGAAAACAAAGTATCATGAAAACGGATTAGATGGATTACATCACAAGTTAATCCGCTTATTTAATCCAAAATACTAACTTGATTCATAAAAGAATTACTTGTTTTAAAGAATCCGACTGAACTTTTGACTGTGCTGATTGTATATCTGGTTTGGGCAGTAGAAGAGGAGTATTTCCTGATCCTAAACTTAAGTAAAAAATAAACTGAAAATATTATTTGAGCATTTTAAAGTCCATACACTTTGTGGAGGGAATCAGCCATTTTAGGCAAAGGATCTTAAGCAACAACACAACATGCCTTTAAAGACAATAGTTTGATTTCGTTTGTTATCAGATGGTCTCTTTGGTACACCATTTATAAAGAGACCACCAACTCCACTAACAGCCGTATTCTTTGTTCCAACTGCAGTGCTCATTTCTTTGTTGCTTTCTAATGGACCTGAAGCTATAATTTAAAGTTACTCAAACATCTTGAAAATTCGAAGTCACAGTGTCTCAAGTGCTAAGCTCTTTCGGACGACCATTAATAGAATTGATGGTCTTCTTTTGAGATGATGATGGAAATAAGGTTGTACTACATCCTTCTCACCTGAGACCTTCCCTCCGACCATAGGTCCAGACCGATCGTTGGTGACAGTTTTGCGCAACTTCATGCCCGCCTGAATTTCGCCAAGTAATTTGGAACGATCGGCAGTTTTAGTTGATGTCATGGTCGTGCCAAACCTGGCATCTGATAGATTTAATGGAGGTGGTGGTGGTGGAGGTGGAGGTACTGGCATTGACTTCTGTAAAAAGATTGGGTCATTCTGCTCCTGGCTTTCCAAAAATAGACATAAGTACATGGAGTAATCATCAGATACATGCATATAAGGAAATAAATGAAAATAAACAAATCAGGAATTTCACACAAATCCTCTCCAGCAATCAATTTATTATTACAAGAGATCAGCAACAGCAATAAAGAGCAAAGAGTGATAAATAGTAGTGAATTTGAGTGAGAATGCTCGCAGAGTTTGACAAACTCTAATTCATCCCTTTCCGCGTCAGTGGAATTCAAATTTCATTTCATAATACAAATAAGTTGCGTTGATCAAGCGCCATTTGAAAATGCAGTTCAAACCTCCCAGCTATTTATTAATTTTGATAACAAACAAACCACATTCAAATTCATCAAAAGTGACATCGATTCAAGCCATTAATATTTCCAACCACTCACAATATCTAACATAAAATAATTTTTAACTAAAGCGCAAATGAAACCAGAAAAATCAACTTTATTTTTTTTAATGCGAAGTACAAAAAGCCAAAAGTTTATCGATATGTCAAACAAAACATATTAATTAGCAAATTAAGAGTGACAATTTAATGCTTATTTTATTATACATACTAACTGATTCAACCTCCCAATATTTTTACCATTCTAGCAAAGAGATTACTTTTTCTGACTTCTAATAATATGAAAGCTCATCATATCATGCAAAAACTGAAACCATAGAAAAATTAATGCCGGGAATTTCAGAAACATTCAGCAAAAAATTCAACAGACATCTACACTGCAGTTTCTACCATTACAAATGCTTCATTTATATTGAGTCGGAAGAAAATGGCACCAATTTACTATAATGCTCGACACCCAAAGTAACATCATACATACGGCCTTTCTGAGGAGGCGGAGTACCTTTGACATATTTCTCAGGTAAAGGCACATAGTACTTGTTACCTTGTAAATCTACCGCGTAGTCATATACCACTGGATTTTCCAAAGCTTCTTCCAGTTTTTCATCCAGAGTCTCTTCCGTAATGAAATGTTTGCTTCGCTCAACCTGTATTTTTTTATTTCATATGATTCAAAAAAATCGTATTTTACTTTGCTTGAAGTAAAATCATTAGTTTTTTACCAATTTTCGTTGGAGCACGTAAGACACAACCAAATTATGAAAAAAAGTTAGCCAAAACAAATGTAGAGCAATCATGAAAAAAAAATTATCTAAAACATACCATTTCAAGTACTTCTTTCATCTTTTCTTTAACATTTGTCTCTCTTCTTGATAACTCTTGTTCAATACTTTTTAAATATTCTGACTCCATTTTTTCGAATTTTTCTCTTTCCCGTACATTCCTTTCCCTGAATTATCGACTCAACATAAAATTTATAAAATAAGACTATAAGCTAAAAACATTTTATGAAGACTAACAAAATAAGCGAAAACGATTTTAAAAACAAACTCTGCTGCCTTCCGATTCCTTTCATCATTTTCCGCGATCAGACGTTCAAATTCCTCACGCTCGTCTTCTACTTCCTTCATTATCTGATCTTCAAAAATTTTCTGCATTAATTATTACTGAACTCTTGATACCCTATATTTTGAAAAAAAGCAAAATTTCTTTAATAAAACATGCTTAACATAAGAACGAATAATACCTTGGTAACTATTTCTGGCTAGCTCTTCTTTGAACAGTTTACGTATTGATACCATCGCATTGTTATAGACATGTCGACGCCATAACAGTTCTTTAACATCTTCTGGCCGCATCCACCGAGACTGCACAACATAGTACAATGCCTAGAACCTTTCGTACTTTAAGTTAAGAACTGTTTAAATTATCATTTATAATAAGTTATAAAAATGTGATTTTTTGGAAAGATTCATAATACTTTAAACAAAAAAGATGACATAACTGCTAAATAAAACAATGAAATTTTAATAATACTCTTTTGGCAGGAGGACAAATTGGTGGTTTTCCAGGTGGTGGAATCTTTCGACTTATCAATCGACTGATTTGCAAAATTACATTCGTGGATCGCACAACATTCACTGACACAGCTGATGTGGAAATACTGCTGATTATAAAGAAATTATTTCTCAACAGAAAAATGGTACATTTTTCCAGACACAAAGGCATAAAAAAGAATTCAGTATCATAATCTAATTGGAATTTAGCTTATTCAAAAGAAATAAAATGTGCACAAAACTTACCGAATGAGGTTCGACTGTGTTGATGCAAATGATATAAAATGTGTCATTTATAAATGTTTGTCGGATGTTACTCTTCAAGGTTTCTAATTACATTTATTACTGGTTCATAGTGACTGAGCTGGAAGAATTTTTGGCAATAATGATTACACTTCGCTCAATACTGATTTGCTTGCATATAAAGAGTGAAAAAACGAATAATAATGCGAAATTGAACGAAATACTGAGATTAATGCATTGAATACAAAATCTAAATGATAAGCAGAAAATTTCTGATAAGTTCATCTCTTCTATGAATATTTTCAATTCATCTGATAGTACTAATTGGAGCAATTACTTAAATATAAGAAAACAATTGGGATAAATTAATGCTTGAAACAATAAACGACAACTAGCTGTCCTATTTCTTACAAAACTTGACGATGAATCATTTTGAGTGTGATTGTTGCAAATTGCACCCGAACCAAAAAAATTTGAATGTTGCGATTTGATTTCGATATGTAATTCTATTTCTTTCACGTTCACGTATGTGTGTCTCAATTTTAAGTTGACTGTACTAGTGCTTTAAAGCAATTACTCTCAGCTAATCTGTTGCTCGTATAAATTATTAAAGCGATCTCAATTTGTGTTTTTAATACGACGTGGGAATAATTTGCGTGTGTAACTCTTAAGTTTAGCTTGTTTCTTGCATCTAAAACTTTTATCTACTTTTTTGGCATATTTGTCCAATTATTAGTATAAGTAAACTGTAATGTTCCGTTAATTATGTTATTTTAAGTGAGAAGTTGTAGAAACACAAAACTTTTTTGGATCTTTTTTAATAGTCATATGCTTTATAAATAATCGTATAAAAAGTGTAGTCGCGAACTAGTAACTTGTAGAATAGTTAAATAAGCTTCATATGTATTTATTAAGCTTGTTAAATGTGTGCATAAGTCTAGCTGTAGGGATATTAATTGGACTGAAGAAACTCCTTATTACTTTGAGGTTAATTTCAGGTCAAATAAAACACATAAATATACACTTTTTATAATGTTAGTTACAGCGAGTATGACGAATAGTAGCGGTGGACCTAGTGCAGAACTGACATGGCGATTGAGAGCAATTTCTGAGGTTGAGCAGAAGATAGCAGATTTGATAAAACACGCACAAACTTGTATAAACGAGCTCAGCAAAGAAAAACAGGCAAGAAAGTTGGTTAAAACGCTTAGTCTTATAAGTGTTCCAATTTATTTCTGCCGTTTTTTGGTCGTTGTTTCTTAATTGAAGAAGAGAATTTGTGCTTTCATTTTTTGGGTAGCATTTAATACATTTGAATTGCATTTTAGATCAGCAAATCCAAAATGGAGGAGGCGTCGTCAGCATTCAAAAAGTGCCTTAATTCAATTGAAACTGATTTGAACAGCCAGTTGCAGTACTTAAGTCATGTTTGCGTTGGGACTCCTCATCAAGGATCAACTTTTGCTAGTCAACAAAATATAGCTTTAGCAGAACGTACATTGGCGTCATTGAAAGAGAACTTATCATTTATACAACAATTTTACGTTCCAGCAGCAAATGACTGAGAAATGAGATCATAATTCAGAAAATTATTTCTATATTGCAAAAAGGCAACTGGCTTATTTGAGCTTTTTGAATTTTTTTTTGTTGCGGTACATAGGTTGAGTCCAGTTTTATTTTCTTTGAAAAACAGTGAGATAAAAATTCATAGCTTCATACAAATTTATTCTTGGTTTTATTTTGATAAATTGTTTTTAAACAGAACATTATCTTCCGCTCTTTCACGTTGTTGTATACATTTTTTACCATTTGTTTCACGTAATTTTCTTCTACTCCATAGCGTCTTGTTCATATTTATAAAAGGATGTTCGATACTAAATGCTGTCAAGTGAGCAATAATACTTGAAAGGATCACTTGTTGAACCACAAATATCAGCAGTGTTTGAATTCCATGGTATTCTATTGGAAAATCTTCTTTCAAAAATACACCAAATATTAAAAATATGTGGCAAAGATATGTCTATAAAATATTTTAAGTTATCAAAGAGATAATGAAATGAAGGAATTTGATATTTGGTGTTTGAAATTATCTATTCACTAGCTATTTATTCTTTTGTGCTGTTTGAGAAAGATATTTGTTTTTGGCAAAATAAAGTTATTATTACACAGTATGTAATTAGTAGTTCTAAGAAATTCGGACTTTCTAATTCTAGTACAAACACGCATATTTGTTTTACCTTACGGAATAAAATATCCCAGTTTATAACTAGTTAAACCATCTAAAGAGCTGAAGAAGTTACCGAATAGCAAATCCCGGAAAAGTATGCAAAAATTGGTGAACTCAGAATGCGGTTCAAATAATAAGCATTCCCAGTGAAGCATACAAAGATAAGCCATCCTATGGCAAATGCCCATATGGTACGGTGTAAGGCTCCATAAAATAAATAATATGGCCAGCAATCCCATCCCTACAAAGTTAATGTATACTACTACATTGATTCACTGAAGTTAGTTCAACCTTGAAAAGGCAAAAATTACAATCCTTCTGCATTTTATTACAGTGGCTCAGAGCTGCAGTGCATAAAACCATTTCAATCAGAGCACTGACTAATATAAATAATTACGATAGGTTCTGGTTGATTGCTTAGCTTGGCGTGCATATTTTTATTAATTGAAATTTTTTAACATCAGTAAATTTTCTGATTAAGTCTTGATTACATCTTTCACCCAAAAGTATCTGTTCAGACTTATGTGTCAGTTATGAATCTTGTCTCAATAACTTTTAACATAACAGAAATTGTATATCACGATATGAGATCATATAACCTGTAAAGCTGGGTAAAGTCCGAATAAGCTAGCAAATCCAATAGAGCCAAACCATATCCAACAACAGCACAAGTTTTTCTTGGATAATTTTATCTTATCCATGTAAACTAATAAATATCCTAATAATATGCCAACAATATATGGACCAATGCGATATTGTGGTCCAATGTATGTGATGTAATGTTGCTAGAATAATATGTGAGTAGTAATAATGTCGAGAAGTGCCGCAGTACTGTTAATTGTGTCTCCCAAATTAACATGAATTTAGTTGAAATTAGCAAAGTATGTGCTAAAATGTAACATTTTTATGTTGACTAACAAATAAGCAGTACACGATTGTATCGTTCTTAATATTATTGAAAAAGAAGAATCAAAGACTGAAAAATCTATGTGTGCATCATAACTTGTAATTCTGCTTCTGTATTTTACTACAATAAAAGTAATCTTTTCTTAGCCCTGGATTTCCTTCAGAATACTCAAATGATCGCACCAAAAGTTTATTCAACACGAATTACTTTCTAACCCAAAAATTAATATGCAAGTAGTAGAGCGTGCATTTAAGCACTTCATGCTTATATTTCTAAAATTTGGATGAGATACAAAATGTAGTTTGGTTATTTTTCAGTATTGCTAAAAGATTTGCAACGCCGAAATTTGTTATTGAAATGAAATTTGAAATCACAAATTATTTGAGTGAGCTAATTCCAAAAAACATTGAAGCAATTTGAATAAACTTGAATTTGAAAGGATTACCTTCATGAAATCAACATGGAATGTTGGCGGCCTTACCCATAATAAGTGTGTTGGTGGGAAACGATACTGCAACATTTTAATAATATTTAAAAATGCTGAGAGAAGAATCGTTGACACTGATAGCACTAATCCAAGTGTGCGCGATTTATTGAAAGATAACAAATAAATTGGAGCGATGAGATAGAATATGAAATCTGTTCCAATGTACCTGAACATATGTAATAATGCAGTTTAGTTACAGAATGTTTCTTCACTTACACACTAACTTCAGTTCAGTCTAACTTTTTACTGATAACTTAGATAATTAAATTTGTCAAAGTTGTTTAATTAATGCAAAATTAGCAGTAAGCATTTATTACAAGTCTTTCCAATAAAATATACAGAGTTATATGATCATTAAATTTTGCTTGTTGAACAAATTTAGCCAAAACTAACAGTTATGTAATTGAAATAAAATATTTAATGATCATATAACTCTGTATATTTTATTGGAAGAAAAAAGCAGCTAATTTGAAATATATTCAACATGTAACTGCAATTATTATTTATTAATGAGTACTGTCCATCACAAAAGATTTAAATTAAATTACAAGCAGACACCAAAATATTAGAAAGCCGTGCGTGAGAGTTTTTTAAAAATTAAAAATTTACTAAAATTGGCAGTCAAAAAGGTCAATGCAAATGTTGAAAGAAGAAATAATTAGCAACAAAAATGCGTACCACGTCCATGGCAGACAAGTGTCATCAATAAAGCTATTGATAAACAGTAAATTCTTCCACCAATTAGTTTTACATTTTTCACGTTGATCTTCAAGTTTCCACGTTGAACGATGATAAAAAATTGAAACGGTTGTAATGGCATTAATTAAAGTACTAGCATAAACTGGCCATAAGCGCACAATACGATTCCAATAAAATTCAAACCAAAATGAGAAACTCGTTAAATCTTCTGAAAACTCTTTATTATGCAAAATTACAATCAACTTAGGATCAATTTTTGAAAAGAATTTTTGACCATTTGCATCTGTCTTTATTGTTTGAAATGTGCTAAAGTATTAACTTGACTGAATTCAGCGAATTCGCAAACAAATATTCTTTTTTCTTTTGAAATAATCATTCAATTTTAGAAATTTTCGACGTTAAGTTAGTGCATAACTTGAAATTTTTATGTTGACATATTAAATGTATGCTTTGAAAAAATACTCAAAATGATTTTAAGTTAAGTTTTGTAATCTTTTAGTATTACTTTTCAAGATGATATCATTTAAAAAATTAGCGTAATATTGACCTTTCTTCAGCTTACGTTGAAACCAAGCGTATGAAGTCAGAGTGGCACTTAATAAAAAAAATATATCAACGCTCAAAAAAAAATTTGTCAATAACTGGTAGAAAAAATTATCCCTCATAATTTCTCTATATTCGTCAAGATTTTCCAGAAAGTCCTGAAACTTTTAATTCTCTTATACAATTAAAAATCGTTAAGGTCAAATTAATTTTTTGATACTTTTTTTTTGCGTTGCAAAACGTTTGCTGAGTGCAAAAAACAATTTAGACTTCCAGTAACAGTTGTAAACTTAAAATAATCTAAATATATAGCAAGGAAAAACGAATTTAACACTTTAACACTTTAGTTTGATAAAAAATAGATTGAAATTCTTGAAAATTTCTCAGAAACTTTAAGACTACTTGAAGTAACAGCGAAAAATTCGTATTTTTTTCTCAATGCTTGAAAATAGCATTTTTCGTTCGCTTATTTTTGCGACTACAATTTTGACGTATAATTCAGTGCTTTTAAATTACAGGTAAAAAGTAAGTGTAAGATTAAGTGAATACTTTTTTTTCAAATTTTAAATTGATTCAAACATTTCTTTTTTTGGGATTGTTGAAAATTTTGAAGTATTTTTATTTCTGATTTTATTTTTGCACTTTTCTTAGTTTACTGATTAGATAAATTATGGCAGCAAATTTTAGCAGTTAATTTAATTTAATCCACGTACAAATAAAATGTTAGAAATTGTTAGAGAAGTAATTAACCTGAATGAAAACAGATGAATGACCGACAATCACCCAAACAGTTGCGATTACACGAAGGCCAAAAATGCAAGTAATCAATTTACGACTTTTTTCAGCGCCAATAAACATATTGAAATTACGTTTGGCGGAAAATCCCAAAAACATTTCCGTGAGCAAAGATCTCAATTGAACTGATTACTAATTGCATAATAAACAAAGTAACTTAAGTGATTGTTGATTCAATTTTACACAAAGATTCAAAACATATGATAGTAATAAATAATAATATCTCAAAATTTGATTGAATTATGAATTTAAGTTTGTTTCTATTTGCAATCGCGCATGAAGTAAACGAAATTCTGTGCAAGTAAAAACTTAATAAAATTTTTTCCTCAAAAGAAATTTTATGCAAAAATGATAACATTGCATGCCTGTTCCATACATACAATAAGTTTATTACACTATTAAAATGTATGAAATGAATGAGAAGTAATTATCTTTTCTGGCAAAATATGATCGAAAAAATAAAACTCAGAATCTGCGAATGCCTTACTTTGATTTGCTTCCTCTCATGACATCATAAACTGAAGCACAAACAACAATAATGTGCAGTATATTATTGAAGATGAAATTTGCCAAGATTTCTGACTTGTGGTACCATTGCTCTTGATGCCTGGATCTTGTACACTCTACAGTTTCATAAGGCTTACTGTAGTTTAGCTCCACAAAAGAAGCCCAATGTTGCGCTAACTGAAATTCACAATATTTATCATCTGATAATTAACACTCTCACAGTTATGCATTTTCTTTCTTTTTTTTGAATTTAAACTAACAAATCATCACATTTAGTTTTTATTCTAATAATTTATTCATAAAACATAAGTTAAAAAATTGAATTTATTACGTTTTGTTGCGATACACTAAACTGTAACAGTATATTGCGGTTTTTTCAAAGTAGTCAGCAAATAACATTAATAATACTGTCATTGTAGCAAAGGGCATCCTTTTGTTCAAATGAAAGTGTGAGTGATAAACACTTTGAATTTGCTAAATAACAAAAACTGCGACTTTACGTAAATTCAGTAAGCTCATACTTTACAGAATTTGCAATTTGTAGTTAGCATAAGTAATAGAATTCTGTAATTTACTAGGAATCATACCTGGTGTATGTCTGATAGACACGGGTCAGGCAAACATAAGCCAGCAGCTGATGCATCACTTTGCAAATTTTTGTAAGCATTACAATAAATGAATGGATATTCGGAGTGGACAGAAACAGTTTCTGCTGGAACGTGGAGGCATTTAATCAGACGATGATGCTGCAATTGAGTCTATGATCACTTCAAGAAACTATTTAGAATATATCTAAAAATTAACTCTTTAATTTTACAATTAAGTCTTCACTGAATACAATTTTTCAGCATGCGATACTTACCCATTCGCTTCTGTCTCGACTCAGAATCAATTTTGCTGGTGTCGAAGTAGCGAATGACTTGTAAAAAAAGTCGCGTTGTTCTTGTATTGAATCGTAAGCGTTCAAAAAACTATGCATCTGAATTTAAGTCACAGCACATTAAAATTGCTAAAGTAAAATATTATTTTTCATAATAGGAGCTAAAATCGAAGCTTTTTGCTTTTTCCTTCTAAGAATTTTACTATTCATAACAAAAAAATTCTGCTTTAGCATAAAGATAATTACTTTTGTTATTTTCATCAAAATGGTGGAGATGGTAGTAATACGAGCGAACACTCCAGCATTCAAATAAATCAGTTATCTAATGACTGCGAATGAATCTCTGATGAACTTTCCACATTACAAGCGACTTTCAAGAAGCGAGAAGAAGTAACAGAGCATAACAACAATGTTCATGCAACTCCTTGTTGCAGTACTTCTGAAGCAACGAAGACGAAACAAGGGAAGAAAGTAAAGAAGAATGAGACTCGCTGCACGAATTAAGCGCAATTAAAGCCCGTTGCAAATAGAATTCGAAATAAAACAAAAGAATGCTATGCGGTTGCAGTAAGGAAATCAAAAGTCTGAGAAGAAAATGAAGAATGAACGGAGAAAAACCGAATCTGGATTCATTATAGAAAACAGTGGGAAATAGATGAGACTATGAAAAGCTCCGTAAGAGATCTAAGACAGTACTCTGCTAGCTTGCAGGAGCCAAGAATCAGTAGGATGACTGCGCTTGCAGTAAACATCCGAGTAATCCGCAAAGCAGCTAGCCAGGTGAAGTGCTGAAGGCGGTTCTTGATTGTTTCTGGAGGATGCCAAGAAGGGGATGGCCGTTGTGCTGTTCCCTGTATTGCGAAAAGTTTGTGTGTAGTCTTCAAGAACTGAAGAAACAAGTGAATGCTGCAATCATCAGCATTGCAGGACGTCCGTGCGCGCAGAAACAGTTCTTGGAGGAGTCAACGAAACGTATCAAAGCACAAGATGCGTACTTTGAGCAAAACACGCTACTATTATGCTGGGGTGCTCAAACTGCAATCAGATGACTTTCAGGCAATTGACCATGATACCAAACAGTTAATAACTAAATACGGAATTCACATCCAACTTGCACGTTTAGAGAGACTGTAGCTGCTAAGGGACAAGCAAGGACGTGGGCTTCATTGCGTTCAATAAAGAAGTGAGCCTATGCTTCTGTAACTTCATAATGATGACTTGAAATGGGATAGTGACGAATTTCTAGAACCATTTCGCGAAGGAAATCAGTGTATTTGATCACACCGAGGCACATATCCAATCGATAGTACTCAAGAAAACACTCGAAAGTATCTCATTCGATGAGCGCCCTGGATTCGACGAGGACGAAGCAGAGGAGATCAGCAGAGAAAACTGAACGCAGGATGAATGCAGCAAGAATGCCAGAATCAATAATGAAGAAAAGAAAAATAAACTCTGTGGAATATTGATTGATTGATTGATTGATTATTTTTATCAAAATTACTCTATACTATATGATCATTGTAGCTTCAAATTGAGAAAAAGTCTGTATCGAAAAATTATAAGAATTTTTAGCTGTAATAAAAACGAATATCACATTTGGTAATTATAGGTGACTTAGTCTTTTTTGATATGGTATCAGGATTTCTTACATAAGCACATCATTTCATAAAGTATTCACATCAAATATCATTAAGTCAATTATTTTTGATTGAAACAGAAAGCATTCTCGATAAATAAACTTTAAAAAAACAGTACTGTATAAACTGCAATGGAATTTATGAATAAATTCAAAATAAGCTTGCATTATTTCATGAATTTTTAAGTAAGAATGAAAATAGCTAACTTTGGAGAGAGATAAGCGACAAAACGAACTGAGATTGAGTCGTATTGCAGATTCCATGAATGAATTAATCTGATCAGCAGAATATGACGTAAGATTTGCTTGCAAAAAGCATAATTTGATTAAGATTAACAAATTAAACAACTTGTTGAACATTTCTTGTCGAAAATTTCTTGAAAAGAAAATAGAGATCAATCGGATAAATGTAAAAATGAACTCGACGACAGGAATGTTATCTCCAAATTCAAAATATAAAAACGAAACTGGTTCTGCTACGAAATTATTTCAAGTCAAGATAGTTGAATCACACAAAAAATAGTGTAAAAGTAATGAATTAATGCTAACTATAATTTAAATAGTTGCAAAATTTTTCTTCAAATGATTTCTAATGATAACATTTAGATGACGCATTAATTTGCACATATCATTGGTAAGTTTAAACTTATCTACGACAAAATTTACATTATTTGAAAATAATCAGAACTTAAAATTTAGATATGATCTCAATAAATAATTTCAAATTATACAGAATAAAATTATGCTTACAAAAGCTCAATTATTTTTGCAAATTTTGTGCTCATAACAATGTATTAAAGAAATTTTAATTCTAATAGAAAATATTTTCAGCCAAAATATTCCATTCAATAATTAGTTTTAAATAATTTGCCTTGATCATTCACTAGTATTGCGCGTTAAAAAAAAGTTCTTGTGAGGAAAACGAGATGTATTCATTCTTAAATTAATATTTCATTGAAGTAATGCGTATTAAATATGTGCGAAATTGACATCAATATGCGGTTAAAAAACATTCAAAGGTTTTTTTACATTGGAAAATTTACATTTTTCAAGTTGTAAATTCGTGAGAGATCAAATTTTTCAAACATAGAAAATTTATTTCAATTTTTTTCTTATGTATGCAAACGGCACACTTGATGGATGGGCAAATCATTACACTCCGAATCGAATACTAAACTGTTTCCGATTTCTGATATCAATAGTCAATAGCCTTGTGTTATTCTGTAAACTCTTTATTTTCTAATATTACATCTTCAGTAAAAGAAAAAGGATCAACACAAAAATAGCACAAAATAAAGAACTGTAAGGTGCGAAAATGACATAGTTCTACTTCTGTGTACAGTTCTACTGAATTTAGCACATCGAAATTTTTTTCCTGCATGAAGTTAAATATTGCTGAAAATACTTCAAGAGCTACCAATCATTCATGGAGTTATCAAAGTCCAAAAGTAGTTCATAGAATAATTATTACTTAAAAAAATGATATCATCTTTGTTCAAATAAGGAAGATAATAAAGAGGTCAAAGTAATTATATAGTACTCCACAAATTCACATATGGATGACCCGAAAATATCAGCAATTATTTCATACTTTTCAAATGCATCAGAGAAATAAATTCTTTGCTTTTATTAAATAAATTACACGCAATCAAAGAGAGATATTTTGGTCTCAATTTTATTCTTCTTGCATAATTTCATCTAAGTTAAATTGCAAATTTTCGGAATAATAACTTTTATAATATTGCTTTTTTATATTTTGCTATCAGCATTATTATCTAAACTAATTTTATTTTTTATTTTTTGACTTAAATTCAGAAGTTGCTAATATGCCATTCAGTAATGAATTATTGCAGAAAACTAAGATATTTATGGAGAATTATATTAGAGAGTTTGGTGAATTTTGGGGTTGCAATATAGCTCGATATCCATACAAATTTGTGATACTTCCAACTTGTTCGTTTTGCATATTTTTCATACCATTTCTAAATTCATTTCGACAACTTTTTCAAGAATCAAGCGCAATTGGTTCTAGTGAACTTTTTATGCCTCGAAACTCCGCCACTGAACAAGATAGAATAAGGTCATTATAAAATTTTCTCAAATACTCAAGTTTGAAAATTAAATTAGAAATTGTAACATTAAATTTTGATACATATGCTAATTAATTACTACATTTTAGTATTTTTTTCCATAAAGTTTGTTTTATCATTATTTTTTACTCGAAATTTGCATAGCTTTAAAACTATACTTTTTTAGAATAGAAAAAATATTTCCGCATGGAATATATTTTCATGATCGAACATTTCTCTCACCAAATTTACGCATTATAAACTTTGAAATACTCTCTGGTTCAATTTATGAGCCTAAGTTTGTAGAATTTTATCAGAATCTTCGAAACACTTTGGAACTTTTGAATGTGAGTAAAAATCTTATTGCACACTCTTAACACTTTATCTTCCAATTCAAGTCAAGTCATAGCGCGTAATTAGCTTAATAGTTGTAAGTAAGTAAGTAAGACAAACGGAATAAACTTTTTGTTTGAAAGATTGAAGTGTGACCCAAGTTTCAATTTAAAAGAAAGATAATAAGCTAAAGGTTAAATCAGAGGATGACACAATAAGTTACTCCAAACTTTGTTCAAAAGCTGTACGAGACGGAGTTCACTGCTTGCCTGATGTATTCCTTCTCTCTTACACCTTCTTTACATTATTTCAACCTGCCAAATACCCTGTTTGGAATATTGCTATCTTCAAGTAAGTACGAGTACTGAGCTCTTTTCCACTCTCCAAGCTAAATTATTGTTGCCATTTTAATAAATGCTTAATTTGAAATTGAGAATTTGCTAATTTTTAATGCTCACTTTAATTTCCATTTATTAATTACACAGCATTATTTGGTCAATGTCACTTTGCACAAAAATAATTTTAGCCATACACAAATGCTTAGTAACAAATTTGAAAATTACATTTCTTTTTAAATGTTAATTTTTTTCAGCACATCCACAAGCATTCTCACAGCAATGATATTCGGTGGAGTACAGAACGATAGCAGTAGTCATCTGGAGAGGATTATTTCTTCTGCCCGATGTGTTCGAATGATATTCAATTTCCCACCGCCTTATCGAATAAATGAATTTAACAAAGTTTGGGATAATTATGTGCAGCACAGCATCAAACAACAACCTTCGAATATCCGAATCACTCATTGGAGTTATAGTCAATGTGAGAGAGATATGAAAGAGATTGCAGTACGCTCCAGAAGGTTTCTAGTATATCAGCTATTACTAAAGTTTATTTCCAGCAAGGACAAATATATTTCTGTAGTCTAACTGTAATTTAGTATAGTTTTGTTTGCATTACAAACAGATTGTGCTTTATTATGTACAGTATAACAATTTCGATACTGTCATTTGATAATGACACATAACATCCAATTCGACAACAAAATCACAACTGATTAGATATAAGAACAAAATTATCTTATGAGTGACAATTTGAAGGAGTGAATAATTTGTGCTGCAAAAAAGGATTATAAGAAATAATCCTTTATGATCCAATGATGAGTCTAAATTACAGGTTACTTCCATTATTAACAATCTGCTTGATTTCTTTTTGCTGTCTAAGTTCCAGAAAATGTGCTTGTGATTTGAAGTTTGCAATTTTATCAATTTATGGCATTCTATCAGCAGGTTTGTTTTGTAGTTTAAATTAAGCTTTATACAAAAAGATAACAGCAATTACAGATGATAGCAAATGATATTTTGCTACTATTACATATTAGTGCGATTTTTTTTCACAAATGGTTGTAGATTATACAGAATTAGAAAAACTGCAAGCAGCACCATTTGAAGAATCCTAGTGTGAGCAAATTGCTATCAGTAGCGGAAATTGACAAGGAGTAGAAATTTTTGCGATGATAAATATTAAGAGTGCTCAGATTTGCAAGTTAGCAATCTTTAAGCTTGTGGAATAGTGACAGCTTTTGGATTCTTACACGTTATCGGGATTCGTTTAGTGCAAATAGCCCTCATCACACCGTTTTTGGTACTTTGTAAGCTTTTGTTGTAATTACTTTCATTTTGTGCATTTAATAATTTTGTTTCGTTGAGTAATATATTAATTTAAAAATATTACCGGAAAGAGTAACTCAGATTAAGGGCAGAAAAGAGGTGATAATAGGTAGTGAGAAAAAAGTTTTTTCATATTGTAGTAATAATTCGAAATTAATTACAGCAATTGGTATTGATGATATGTTCATAATGCTAGCTGTTTTCGAAGAAACAGTTACAAACGCATCAAAGGGTCAAGCCAAGTGTTGTTACCTAATGACCAGAACTTTTCGGTTGTTTCTTTCCATTTTAATTTGAAAAGTTGGCTATAATTCATTAAATCATTTTAATTATTAATATTTGTTATCTTTGCCGAATCAAATCTTTAATTCATACTTTCAATCAAATGGTTTTACTTACTTTTTATTTCAAAATTTGTTACCAAATTGAAAAAAAACAAAATATTGGCCACCTTTTAGCTCTATTAATCTTATCGCTTTTATTTTGTGCTAAATTTGCATATGCAAATAGTTTCATTTAATTTTAACTTTAATAACTAATTATTTTAAAATTTGTTCACGAGTGTATTACTGTTGTGCATTCTTCTAGGGAAAGTATGGTATCAATACTACTCACAACTATTAGTAACGTACTGGTCTTCACTTTTGGCTCATTTTCACCTTTTCCAATCATTCAGATATTTTGCATTTATAGCGCTGTTTCTTTAGCTGTTGTTTTCATATTTCAAATTACTTTATACGGTTCGTTATTAGCTTTAAAAGCTGAAAATATTTTAACACAAAGAAATTTTGCAATTGCTTCTAGTCAACGAAGTTGTGCAGAATCCAATAAAGAATCTCAGCAGTCATCTGGTATGCATATTTGATTTTATAATTGGAAACACAAATTAGAGCTTCTGTACTACTAAGCAATTAACTTTCAGTGTTAATCTTCATTAATTCTGATTTTCAGCAAAATCAGAATATTCGCAAAGATCATTTTTGTCAGTTTATGCAACAGTATTTAAAAACAAATACTTTATTACACTGATTTCCACGAGTTATATCATCTATTTAACTGGTTCTATCATTATTTTGAACAAAAAAATTGATATTGGCTTGCAGCTTTCTTCGCTTCTGTTGGATGATACTAAGTTAGTAAGTTTTGTCCGAAAAAAAATTCAAATATGAAAATTCTTTCAGATTTTTGTATTTCTTAATATTTTAGTACACTTATTGCAATATTTCAGACTCTATACTTCACGTTGTGATGTCGTAATATATTATAAATAGTACTATGCTTTTAAATAAATCAAATGAGGAAACTGATCAAAAAATTCAAAAAATTACAGCACATACAAATATTTGACAATGTATGAAAAATACTTCTCAGAATATCATCCACCACTGGAAATAGTTTTGCCTGATAAAGTTGACTATTTTGACGTAAAAGTTCAACGACGTGTGCTGCGTGCAGTTGAATTTCTTGAAAATACAAGCTACACAATGACTGCATCGTTTTGGCTACCAGTGTTTCTCGATTTCTTGCAGTTTATTCTATTTCTTTCATTATTAAGCAACTTTGCGAATATTTGTTTCTTGCATTTAAAGAAAAAAGGCTTTATTTATATTTTTATAATTACAATTTAGGAAAAAGTAATATACTAAAGTAATTCTGTGCATGATAAGTTCGTATATATTTTGAATTACTTAAGCGGAAACAAAATGAATACTGAAGTGTTTCGGGAAGATTCTGATTCATTTGAAAAGAACATAACTAATTTTCTTCAAAATCCAGCACACAAGTTAGTTTCATGCAAATAACCAAATGAGTTTCAAAAACTTTCAGATAGAAATAAAATTCAAAACTTTCATTTCCATTAAGGAATATCGCAGTTTCTAGAGAGAACTTTTACTTGCATATCTTCAATAATACATTTTTACAAACTAATTCTTTTTTTCATTGACTTTTAATTGCTATTACTGCTCACTCTTAGAGTAAATACAGTGAATTTTGTAATTCTTAAGATTTTGACCAAAATTTTTTTCGCATTATTTTTTGTAGAATTATAGCAAAATCTTCAGACATTTTTCAAATGATATAATTTTGGAGCGAAGCAATAGCAGTCGTGTATCAGTCAAGTCTAGCAGACTACATATTCCCCTCTGCCACATTACTCGTACTAGCAGGTGCAGTATTTACCACTCACTGATTTGATACAAAATTTTTGTAAGTTTTATATGAGATAAAGTAATTATTGTTATTTCAGAAGCGATGCGATGCATTTGCTAAGAAATAAAGTAAAATTTATCAAGCGACGTTACTCTATTCGATTACTTATCTATCACGCGTTATTTGAATTTGCTGAACAAGACGACCTTATGGTGTATATCACTTTTTCTAATGCTATTTTAGCAGGTAGCTAAGCCCTCCTCAGGATTCTTATAACTTTCATCTTCTACTCATCGACGTTGCAGCGTTAATTTTTGCTTGAAATATAATAAACATACGACATTTTTACTGCATTTTTAGTAATTTCAGCCTTCAGAAATCAGGAGATGGATATGCTCTCAAATCTCCACAATATTAACTTTATAACAATCTCTTTCACTTTTGTTTATTAGGAAAGCTTTCTTAATGTATTATTTCTGGAAATGATTTTTGAGGCAATTATTTAAGTGTGGTTTAAAATTAGAGAAATAAAAATTAAGATAATAAAGTGAGTATTTTAGGTGCTACCTCACTTGGAGCAGTCCTGGTACTGATCCCTTCCTTTATTAGTTGTCTATTGATGACTTGGGCAATAATTAGCATAAACCTTGGAGTGCTTTCTTTGTTAGCAGTGTGTGGAACTAATCTCGATATTATATCTGCAACTGTCATGCTTCTGAGCATTGGTTACTCTGTTGACTATTCATCCCATATTATGGCACATTATCATCACTTCCGACACAATTCAGCTGATCCACTCGGCAATGAATACTCAATTACTTAACTGATTTTCTAATACAGATATAAAATAATAATTCATAAATGAATCTCCTGCATTTCATACTGATTTTGACTTAGTTAACTTTTTAGGCCATACCTTAAGCATTGTTTCTTGGCCAATTATTCAAGCCTCGTTATCAACAATGATTGGCGTGTTCTGTTTAATACCTGTCAATGTTAGTTTATTTAAAAAAATATAGTATCTAAATAAAGCGTGATGAAGTCTTCAGATTAATTGCCTAATTATATTTTTAGTTGGACTCAAAATTTTTGACTTTCAATAGTTCAAAATCATGCTATTACTTTGCAATCATCTAATAAAAATTCATTAACTTTGTTATAAAATGAGTAAATTATTTATAACTTAAGGGATATATTGTGAAGACATTCATTCTCGGCGTACTATTCGTTTGCTGGATAGGATTGTATCACAGTATTGTGTTACTGCCAGCACTTTTCGCCTTCTGTACTGTTAGGTATGCAAATTTATTTCGGTTTGTTAGCGATTACAATAATTCTGCTGTATATATTCTGCTGTATACTTTTGCTCTTTAGCATTCATTTACTTATAAAAAGGAAGGAATAAATGAATTCAGCTCGTTCATTCATTCGTCTTTCATTTATTGAAAGCATTTAGATTGAATTTTGTTTATTGCTAACATTTTTATGCTAAAAGTTTGCTCTTTTTCGCAAGCTAAAATAATTGTGCAAAATATTCAGTTTTTCAGACTAAAGTTATTCACTTTGCACAGACAAGAATATATTGTCGAGAGTAAATGCTGACTGCATGCAGCAAATGGATTTGATTTACGCGTTGGTGATGTGAACGAATGAACGATTATGAGATCTATTTCTGTAGAAAATATTATACAAAGTGCGCAAGTCAAAAAATAAATAAATAATTAAACTTATAATTTCAGTATGTGGTGGTATTTTAGTATACTTAATTATATGGGAACAACTTGTAACTATACAAGTAATAGCGCAACGATAATCTTAGTAAATTGATATATTTTCTTTTGCATAACTATTCTTCCAAATAATAATAATAATGATAATAATAAACTAGTCAAATCCAAACTGAACAATTCTATTTGTGCTTTTGATTTTTTTAAAACTATTTGACAAAAATTTAATAGGAAGATTACAGTTACTAATTACACTAGTAATAATATTATTATACGTGCATAGGATTTTTAATAATACTCGTAGTAGGCAGAAGTAATTTAAGAAATGATTATTTTATTTAGTAACTGAAACAAAGTTGAATATTTTTGAAAGTGTGTACACACATATGAATAAATGAACTGATGACAAACTCGAGATGACAATTTTTCGCATAAATTTAATACATTGTTTGCTGTGATTGAATGATCAAAAATCCAAATGCTTTAAAAACTATTAAACTTTGAAGCAAATCGAATCATAGTACTGCGCATAATATATTACAAGCAAGTTCCACTCTTCACTGATAAATCTGTTCCAATAAATTGTGCATTAATAAAAGGATACCATGCCAGAGCATTAAATGATATTCGTGAAAAATTTATTACTATTATGATTCTGATTCTGATTCATATCAAATATTTATATGCCATTGTTATCACTACTACACAATATCTAACTTGTTATTTATTAAAATTACTTATTATTACTGTATGACTAACTGAAAAGAATAAACCTCAAATAATATGAATCAAAACAATCAGTTAATTTGACATTGCAAGTATTTTTCTTTTCACAGAAAACACAAATAATTAAAGGAATTATTAACAAAACAACAATAACAATTATAACAATAATAATTGATTAAAGCATAAATTATTTATGAATAGAATAATAACCAAACCCAAAAATTGATAAAGTATGCGAAATAAGTTCACAGTTAGCAGTGAATTTGAAAAATAGAACTTGTGTTATGAACATGTACACTGAGAATCTCAATAAGTTAAACAAAACAAGAATTCATACAATGTCTGTTGAAAATAAAGGCAAGATATGGTAATATTCACGCGATTAAAACCCCAAAAAAAATTCTAAAATGCAAATTATGAGTGAATATGCATAAAAAGAAAGAAAAAGCTTTAATTTTTCATTTTTTGAGCAAAGTAAAATTTTGCAAAGTAATTAAAACTTTATGAGAAACGAAATTTCATCTTAGCATTTGCTTGAAGGACTAACTTTGCTTGTGAAAGGAAAAGCTCACTCTTTGATTCTATCAGAAGTGAGTAAAATGTGATGATAGTATGAATTGCAAAGAACCCACTGGAAATTGTCCAAATAAAGTAGAATGGACAGATATCTGGCATATACAGTTGGTAAAGAGAAAAGATTGAGAGTAGTAATATTAGACGACGTGAAGAATAGTCATGAAAAATATAATAAAATACAGTGCTCAGGTCTGCTTTGTATGTATGCTACAAGCGTATTCTCTGAGTAAAATATATTAAGTTAGATAATACTAAAAATTTGTACCGTGAATAAAATTAATCTCATTTTTTTAATTAATAAAATAAATGTATTCATAAATTATTATCTTAAATAATTTGTAATGAGCAATGTGGTAGGAAATTCTCACATGAATTAAAGGCAATTTGTTGAGGTAGTAGAAAGACTGTGCTGCGAGACTTGTATCATCTCGTACAATAGCTAATTGCAAAATGTTTGGAAAAAAAAACAGTTTCATGGCGTGAAAAATACAAATTTCTAAGCAAAAAAGTTAAAAAAATTAATTTTTTCGTTCAGTAGAGAATTTTACTTCTAAATAATTAAGATAATATCACAAGTACCAAAAGTTTGAAAAGTAAACAAAAATGATTTTCTGACAATTTGCACCAAATTATTGATAACAAAATTAATCTTATCAAGCACTCAAACACTCAAACTTTTTAAACTCTTTTGGAACTTAACTTAAGTGTAATAAAAATTTATAACAAACAACAATCAATAAACTACCAAATGTATAATGAAGCAAACAACCAGAAAAATGAATAGCTTTGAGAAAAAGCCTTTTGGTACCAAATGTATCACATAAATATGCTTTAAAAATTTTCAGTAAGCAAAATAGAAAACAGAAAATTTAAAAAACAAATTGAAAATGTAGATTTCATTTAAATGAATGTGAGGGAAAATTGAAATATAAATAAAGATTAGCAAAAATAATAATTGTATGTTTGAACAAAAAAATGCCTCACTTATTTGCGTTTTTTTTACTTCTTAAAAAATTTCAAAATTTGAATTCATTTAAATATGAAAGATTTGGAGAGCAAATCAAGCATATTGACCATATAAGTAAAAGTTATGGCTAAAAAGACACTTAAAAAGGCATGACAATTGATATGGCTTAAGAAATTTGGAAAATATTCTCAAAATTAGAATGCAACTTTTATTTTAAGAATTCTTGGTAGCAGTTTGTAATCAGTGAGTAGAACGCTAATTTTTTTCTTAGTTTCTTGCAATCAGAAGAGATTGTATCGAATTGAATAATTGAGCTTCAACATTAACAGCTGTTTTTGTTATTTTACAAAAGTATCTCTGAAAACTTTTAAATTTCAATCTGAAACATCCTTTCTGCACTTCAAAACAATATTGTTGATAGTATTCATTTCCAAAGAAATTTTTATCGAATTTAGTTGAGGCACTTTTTTCAATATCAATTAAAAAAGTATATGTAGAATGCTTTTTTTAACAAATAATCTGCTATTGCTATTGACCTGCTCAGAACCGTAAAAACAGTGCTCGATTGAATCGAAGCATCGCATCGCGTTCCATTCGTACTGGTTCATCAATTGATTTAATCAGAATCATTGGATCAAAATTAACACAACCTGCACCAAAAATATTCATACTATTTACACTTGATAGATCAGGTGAAGAAGTTGCAAAAATTCGTTCTAATGATACAGTAGAAGATGGAATTGTTAATAGTTCCGTTGCAATATCAGCTAACAATCCATATTTTACCGCATTAAATTGCCAATACTGTAAAGGTGCTAAATTTCGACTATTTATAGTTACTGGCAATGGAACCGTTGTTGCAGTAAGTGGTGAAGGCGAAGTTTGATTTGTTCCAGCCTAAAATTATAGTACAAAGTATATCGCGCAAAAATTGTGCATGACAAATTATAAAGAAAAATCACTTTGTTTAAATTTGTACATTTGAATATTGCGCAGACAAATTTTCAAGTTTAAATATGGCTAAAAAAAGAAAACAAAAACTTACAGCAAGTTCATCAAAGTATGACTGCACAACCGCTTCAACGTAACGATTCTTCGCAGCTTCTTGCTGTTTTTCCTAAATTCTGCATAAATTATACAAACGTAGAAATAGTAATTACAATATGCCGACACTAATTTTCCTCACACATTTTTTCAAATTATTATAAAATCAAAAAGTTAATCCTTCACTAATTGCGATTTTAAACGTTTATCCTGAATTCTCATTATCTCTACATTAATATTAATTATCAGTACAAAGTATGTAAATAGTTTACAGTATGACTAATTAATTTCAAAAATAAATCTGATCATTGGCAAACGAACTTTCATCATTTTCCGCCGTTCATTTGCAGCATGAATAAGATCAGGGTAGAGGGAAGTACTTGCTGTGACGTTCTGACACGGTAACGAATCACACGCACTTGAAATAACACTCCCGCAATTTTTCCCATTTTTTACTGCGTTACAATTGTTCATGACCGAAGAATTTCCTACATATGAAGAAGTCGCGGCTGCAGCAGCAGCGGCACGATCAACAACCGTTGCAAGTAATGCGTCTACGCCACCACTTAATTTTGCCGTTCGACGTGCAACTAATTCTTCCGCAAGACGCATACGCTCATTTAGCTGCAAAAAAGTAACACAAAAATCTTACTCATTCAAAAGTATTCAGAAAAATGAATAATCCAGCTTTTCAAAATTATTGCTAGATATGACCTTTTTGAAGTTCTATGAGTTTTTGCGTGCTTAATTGAGTGCAAAAAATAAAATTAAAAAAGGCAAAGTGTATAGGAGGTTAATTTAAATTTTGAATCAAAAAGTCCATCTTCACCACCTTCATCTGCATCATTCTTTTCAATGTTTTTGTATTCAAAGTTTTTTAAATTTGTAGGAATGGTGTAATAATTTTGTTTATTAGTAAAAGATTGGTACAAAAGTACCTGTCGCTCGATGGCACTTTTCGCAAATGCTAACTGCTCATCATCTAGCAACAATGCAAGGTGTGGATTCAAAGCTGTTGCTTGAATGAATGTACCATCAAAATTTGCATGATTAATATCCAGCACCGATGCAGTTCGTCTTCGTAACTCTTTTCTTAATTCATCTGCTAAATCCCCTAATGTTCCGAAATCCTAAAATTACACAGATTACAACTTCATTTTATTTTTGTCCTTTAAATTTACCATCAATTCTTGCATGCATTCCATAATTTCAGTATATATCAACCATTTATTTACTTTAAATAAAATTATATACTTCAAACTGAATATATTCTAGTACAAAATTTCAAAAAAATCAGTGAATGGTTTATTTATGAATTGCTTGTAATTCGTTTCCTTAGCTTATTTCAATACTTACAATGATGTAATATGAAAAAACATTTAATTTTTTGCATCGTCTCAGAATATTCTTTTTAAAATAACGCATTTTCATTTTAATGCTTATGTAAATAGCTAAAATAACTGAATATTTTTGCTGAATTTTTCTTTTCTTTTTTTTCAAATGCCATTTATTTTGAGAAAAGTTGAATTTGAATAATTGAAAGATAAGAAATGTACGAGCCTTCTCAAGGGAAACTTGCAGCTGCATTAAAGATGGAACAACACCATCGATTGTAGCATAAACACCATCTTGAACGACATTCATGTGAGTATGAAAAAGCTTCAGCAACCGAGAAACGTCTTCCAAAGTCTGCCTAAAGGAAACGGACGGAGTGAATTGCTTCAATTGACTCAGAGATCACTTAATTTCTGTCATAAAGTTAACTTTCTAAATTTGTTTTTCCATTTGCAATGCCGTCAACGATAACGCATTTTTTTGATTATAAGCTTATTTACTTCAAAGTAAATCTAAAAAAAGTACTTTGGATAATCTTTACGCAATTTCAAATATTATTATCATATTTTTTTGCTAAAATGAATAAGAGATTCACTTTACAGTTAAGTAATAAAATTGATTTTCAATAAAGGTTTTCATTACTTAATAAAGTATATTGAAGATTAATAATTACCACTGAGATTGAGTAATTGTTTCGATAGGATATTCAAGTGACAACTGAGCACAAACACAAAGGAATGCTTCTTTCAACTCGATTATGGCATCGATAAGTACAAGGAATGAATCTGCGATAGGGATTGACACTACACGGCCTAAATATTAATCAAATTATATCATTTTGATTAGTAATTTTATCACTAGCATTATGATAATCTCAAAATATTCTTGTTATTTATTATTAATTAACTAATTAATTATTATTATTATTTACTTCGAATGTTATTAAGCCTTTATTACATCAAATTAAATTTTGACAAATTGATAAAATTTACCAGCTGCTTGCTGTAGCATTTGCATGGCATTAGGCCTTGTAAGAAAGTTCAGGATCATGCTATAGAAGCACTTCTTCAAGTCCCCGATTCCTTCATTTGTATCAATTACATTTAAAAGCGACTGCATCAATTTTTGATTGTAGGGTTCCAGCTGTAAACATCATTATCATGATGATTTTTTCTAGAACAGTTCTTACACATATAAAAAAAGATCCGATTTAATAACCAGAAAATATGATAATGAACTCTGAATATTAACCTGAAAATGCAAGAATAATTCAAGAAAATGAAAGTAAAAAGTTGAGGTACCATTCGAGGAAAGACAGCTTCTGCTGGGATATTACTTCCAACCAACTCACATATGTCATTGCAAATATAACGGGAAACTTTGTTGCTTGGAATATCAAAATCGGAAAGAACCTTAAAAGTATTCACTTCACTCCTTACAGTTATCATATCATACAGTTACAATACTTGACTGTAAAATCATGAATGGTATCAACCTGATCAAGAGTGATCTTGACAGCATCAACGATATTCAAATGATCAACTAAGGGTCGAACACCCAAAAGGGCCACTTCAGTTCGTTGCGTCAGTGGATTATAGAAGGCAACAGATACACAAAGTCGCATCAGTGCTCGAACTTCTTCAGCTCGCAATGCAGAAGACGATTTAGGAGACTCGATACCCGAGTGATTCTCTTCGGATATCTCGAAACCACTATCCGAATGTACGGATGTTGAATCTTTAGAGTCTTCCTTAAAATTTACCAAAATATCTTATTTGCTACTGAAACTATAAATTTCAAAAACAAACGTTTTATCAAAGTTTGGTCATATTAGTTGCTAAATACAGAATTAATTCACTTTGTCGTCTGCACTTGCGGAAAGTGCAGCAGAAGATGTTGGAGCACTCAACTTCAGGACATCCATCATAATAGCAACTTTTTTTGCAGCATTCAGTTGACTTTTCAAGCTGATAACTGTTCGGGAATGTTCGTTATTTATTATCTAAAATATTAATTACTCATCAATCTAAAATTTTTATTTCTGAAATGTTTATTACTCATCAATCACTAATTATTTTAAAATTAATTAATGAAAAAGTGATAAGCAATGTACATTACACAATGCTGTAAGAGAAAAAATTAACTGTGGACCACAATTATTATGAATAGTAATAAAAATAAATAGGAAGTATTTATAAAAAATAAAATAACTTTGATTAGTTCTGTCAATATACTAACATCTTCAATATAGTTAACATCACGAGGCATCGAGAAACGTGGCTGTACGTATTCCATAAACTCTCGGAAGAATGAATTTTCAATTATGTTTACAGGTATTTGACTTGCCGACAGCATTAGTGCTAGCTTCAATTCCATTTCTTTCTGCTTCCTATCATCTCGGCTCCATCTTCGACTGCTACCTGACGTTACGATGGAGTTATTACTGGCAGTGGCATTACTGCTTGCTGCCATTAACAAATTTGCCGTTAATAAATCTGATAGATTTGAACCATCTAAAACTATTATTATTTACTTCCTATATAATTAAAGAAACTTTTGGTGTAATTACTGTGCTATTATTATTAATTACTATTGATTAATTACAATTTATTCTGATTTTTATAATAATAATTATTATTATTAATAAACTCAAATCAAATGCGTTTTATATAATTGCTCAAATTTAATATATTTTCCACTTTTTGAAATCAAAATCAAAATAAATTGTGTCAATAGTCCATCAAGCATTTTCATATTTCAGTAAATGGATTGTTTTCAAAAATGCTTTCACATCGAAATCAATTCAAGAAATTATTAATAATCAAACGAAACTGTTTTTAATTGACTGCAGAGGATTGCTTGCATTGTGTGTATTGTTGCTAACATTGTTAACATTACTGCAGTTACGGTCTAGTTCTTGATCGTTAAAAATGGCAGCCACTGGATTTTGTAACAAATGTCCATTTCCACTGGCCAAAGCTGCTACACTCGCCCTCGCATTCAAAACGTCTAATATATTGCTTAAAAAGTTTGGTAAGTAGCAAGTAAAATTATTCATCTTGACTTTTATTTGCTACATTCTTATGTACTAGGAAGTTTATTTCCATACTATTTTTTTATATAAATCTGCTAAATTTATGTTTTTGAAACTTTTGCATAATTAATTGAGAAACCATTCATCAATTTTTTGAAATGATTTAGTTTCTGAAACTAAATAAAGTATTGTTTCTCGTAAAGATTAAAAGAATGAAAAATTAGAAACCTGACGCTATGATTGGATTGTTTTCCAGGAGATGAAATGCTAGAAACGTAGCTTTTGCTAAAAGTCACAGCACTTCCTGATGAGAATTCATCATGAATATTGCTTTTTAGCATACTGTTGCTGACAATATTCACACAACCATTACCATGAATTTTTGTACGATTATTAACAACAGTATTCATCACAGAAGTGATTCCAGAAGCTGATGAGACAGGGGCTGGTGAAGGCGACATTTGAGAGGAATTATTGCTGCTGATGTTACTTAAACGATCTCGAGAGTAAACTGCCTAAACTTATCAAACTTTTATTAATTGTATATTTTAACTATTATATCATACAGTTTTGATCACTAAAACAACATTTTTTGCAGTCATAATAACTTCAGTAGAACTTATGATTTTATTTTATTTTAAATTTTCGCCGCGAAAATTTGATTCTTTTCAAATTTCTTAGTTAAAAAAAAGATTTGAATGTGCTAAAAACTAACTTTCAGTTTCTGATATTCTGCATATTGAGGTGGATGTTTCTTCAAATGACACGCAAGTGTACTCGTGTGTGGCCCTTTCAACACGTAAGTACAATTACCCACAATACATCTTTAAATTTGTTATTTATAACTATGACATCATAAATATCAATATAAACTGAATACTTTTCATATTTTACTCAGCCATTTTCAGGTAAACTTTCTCAAAAAAAGTATAAAATATACTTCAGTTAACTAATTTAAAAAAAATAAAACTTGCAATTTCAATAATTTTTACTGCAGTTTTAATAAATTTCGTGTAAGTGATCATGATGGAGTGATTCAAGAAAATGATCATTTTGACCATACTGAGTGGGTGTGTGTGTGTGTGTTTGTGTTGTGTATGTTATTATTACGTATGAAAGAGTTTAGTACGAGTAAATCGAAGGAATGTTGTTAACCTGCTCAAATTCTCAGCTTTATTATAAACGAAGAATTTCCAGACTGGAGTTTGCTTATTAGTTCCACCACTTCTAATCGCTGCTGCTGGATTGCGATGCCATGACCAATCATCTTCCCCAAACAAAGCCGCTGCTGGTGACGATGCCGCGGCTATAGCTCCCGGGATAGGCGGTCCCGGTGGCACTAAACACATCCATAAGTAATGATCAATATATTCATACAATGATAACAAATGCAGTAATTGTTGAAGTAATAAATATCGCCGAAAATCATAAAATGATCAATAGCTATTGCTATAGAAGAAGATGTATTATATTAATTTTTTTCATTATTTTATATTAACAGTTTTTATCTAATAGATAATTTTTGGACGTTTGAGCTTTTGTTTGATATTTTTGAGCAGATCAATAATATAAAAATTCTTATAGCAATTTACCAGATGGAGTAGCCGATTTACCACGACCTTTATGACTTGTTGGTTGCATTTGCTATAAATCAATTCAAAGTAAGGTTGAATAAAAAATAAGCAAGAAAGAGAATTCACATCACAGAGTAAATTTTTTCATAAACTCAAATTCAGAAAAGTATTAGAATTCTATTAGAGTAAAAAGTGAAGTAATTAATGCATTACTTTAATGTATGCATTAGTAGCTTGAAAGATCATTGCAGTGGAAAGTGCGTCAACGAAACTTTGCCCATTTCTTTGATACAACAAATTATTTGAGCTATTATTACCGCTTACGCATAATTCTTCACGTTCATCTTTCACGTAAGAAGTAGTGCTTGATGAACGCGCTGATGAAGGACCAGCTGGAGACTGGCCTCCATTTGCTGCATCATCTAATGGGCTACCATTGTTTTGATATGTAAATGTTGGCTTTTCCACGACTACCTAATAACTTGCATTAATCATTAATACGTGAATAAATAAAGTATTATAGCATTAATAAAAAATTTTTTAACGCAATAAGTTTGTTTTATAAAATAAATCAAATATCTTAGCAAGTTAAAATAAATTAGAATGAAAACTCAGTGAGAAGGATGTTACCTGAGTTGGTAAGGATGACCGAAACTTCTTAGTCTCAGGAGCTTCAACTTGCACAGCGAGGCTCATCGCACTCTTGTAGATATCTGCCCAGATTTTCTCTTTACAATTTCCTTGTATTTCTCTAAAAAAATTGTAACAAAATATTTTTATACAAGTTTCACTTTGATATGATGAGCAAGTATCGCAAAAAATAACGTCAAATATGCAAATTAGTGAGCACAAATAAGGATAAAAGCAGCTTCACGAATAGAAAAATAGAAGTTATGAGGCTAAATGCATCGAGTAAGGATGGCAAATAAATCAGTACTCATTTCCAGCTCACAACAAAACTGATGCCAAGAACTTTGTATGATACACTCAGCAGTCTATGTGTAATGATGGATTCTCATGCCCCGAGATAATGCAAAATTTGCATAGAAATTTTCGTGCAGTAGCATCAAAGGTCATAAAAATTTGCATATTAAGTGGCAGAGTAATCATTTTTCATTAATATTATGGACTTGTATCGTATGTAAGCGATTATATGATAAATCTTGTAAAAGTATGCAAAAAAAAAAAAAAAA